ATGACTTCCAATATTGTGAGTCGAACTTCACAGAAGACACCGGCAGGTTTAGCCGTTTTCAATTACTACCCAAACCTTCCTCTCCGGTTACCTCCAACGAACCCTCCGCCGGGTCCGGCCTGAAACAATACCACACCCCGGTTCGAACAAAGCCTCAAAATCAAAGCTCGCCAAGGCTTCGTAATCCCACCTCCACAAACACCAAACAGAGTCTTCGTCTTCCTCAACACCCAAAATAGAGTCAACGGCTTCGTGCGCTGGTCCGTCAACAATGTCTCATACAACATGCCGCACACCCCTTACCTTATCGCTCTGAAAGAGAACATGACCGATGATTTCGATCATAACCCACCACCGGACGGCTACGATTTTGTTAACTACGACATATTTAAGAAACCCGCCAACCCGAATGCTACAAGCAGTACCGGGATTTACCGGCTGCAGTTCAATTCAACGGTGGATGTTATACTGCAAAACGCGAACATGATAGAGCAGGGTTTCAGCGAGACTCATCCATGGCACTTACATGGGCATGATTTCTGGGTATTGGGCTATGGGTTAGGGAAGTTTGACATGTTCAGTGATTCAAATAAGTACAATTTGGCGAACCCGATAATGAAAAACACAGTGCCGGTGCATCCTTACGGGTGGACGGCGCTTCGATTTCGAGCAGATAACCCCGGCGTCTGGGCTTTCCATTGCCATATTGAATCTCATTTCTTCATGGGCATGGGGGTTGTGTTGGAAGAAGGGGTAGAGATGGTGGGGAAGTTGCCGTCTTCCATTATGGGCTGTGGAGCAACTAAACAGTAATGGGTGAAGTAATTCAGGTACAGGTAAATATTTTCTGACCGTCGTAAAAGATATACAAAGGTGTTAAACAACAATCCTTTTGTGTGGGTAATCGTCGTTATTATAATTTTTTTTCTACAGATTTTTCCTGTAATATAATTACTTAGTTTGTAGAATAGGCAAAATTTTATTTGTAGTTGACTACTGTTTTCTTCCTACCAATTGTAATTGTTTAATAGAAAATTGCGAAGTACTTGTTTTTTTTTTTTTTATTCTTCCATTCTCTATCACAAGTTCTTCAACCAAGGATGTTCAGTTTGAGTTCATTATTTGGTTACTGTTTAACAGTAATTATCTTATGTAAAAGATACATAATTAGTGGGATAGCTTTAGTTAATTTTTTTTTTTGTTTATAAATTCATGAAGCTCGTAAATTATTGAAAAATTAAAACAAAAAATGTTTAGTCAGTACATTTTTATTTAATTTATAAGCTCACACAAATAATAAGTGTGGGGTAAAAATATATATAAATAAATAAATAAAATAGCTAAAAATAACATAGAACAAAATTGGCTTAATTGCGTTACTTATAAGTGAAAACTCATGTGTATAAAATATTTTAAAAAAAAATTAATAGAAATTCGTACACTATTAGGTAATAGATGTAAATTTACATAAACAATATAGAAACACTTTCCTTTTTCCAATCATGTTCTCAATTTTATTATAACTTCTTAAATTCTGATTTTGTTGGTATCTAAATATCTTACAATATTTTGCTTTTATATATGAATATATATTATATAAATATGAATTTAATAAATAAAAAAAACATATGCATCTAAAATCTTATTTTAGCATTATTTAGGAAATATATTTATTTTTCTCAATTACTATAGAAATACATATAATTGCTATATATGTTTTCATAAATAAACTTAAAATTAAAAAGTGAAATGTTATTTTCACCTTACTCGCGTCTTATTATCTTAGTTTGAAAAAAATAATAATAATAATTATTACTTTTAACTGTTAAATTTAGATTTATATTTCAAAATTTTTGTCATTATAATTCAGTCATGAAATTTACGTAGAACCATTTTTAAAATACCAATATTATATAAAAGTGGAAAAGATATCAATTCGGAAATTTTAGAAATTGCAAAAATAATTCCTTTATTATTCAGGTGTTAAAATATTTTAACTTCATTTTATCAAAATTTCTCATTCGTCCTCAAATTTTTTCACTTCATTTTTTCATACCCATTTTCCATCAGGATGAATCTTACCTCCTTTTTTTCTTCTTTCATTTCCCTTCCTGGGTTTGTTTCAGCCATTTGAGTTTTTTTTCTTAGTTGTAGTTGTTGTTTTGCTTGATAAACGTGTTTGCCAGATTATTTTTTACATCGAGTGTAATATATTTCTGTTGTGAAGTTATGGTTTTCAGTAAACGAGAAATTTGTTGTCATTAGCAGATACGGTGGCGGCGGCTTGTTTTCTTCTTGGAAGTTTTGACTATTTGTCTAGAGCTGACAAGTGTAATTGTGTCCGGTATCGGATCTTAGTTTTATTTCTGGACGCAGAAACAGAAAACAAAAAATGTCTACCAATTTTTTTTTCTTTAAATGCAACTTCAAAAGAACTAATACTGGTTTTGCTTGATTTTGAACTTTTTTTTTTTTTTTGAGGTCAGATTTTGAACTGGGTTCTAAGTCTAAGATCTAAATCGCTTAGGTATACAGCATAACTGGTTTAATTTCCCTGATAGAGGTCAAGATCGTTTGTTCTTATAACTGCCATCATGGTTTGTTCAAACACAGACTCAATTGTTCTTATTCTGTTAATTGGACAAGGAAGCTTTACATTTACTGTCTAATTACTTTATGGAATTTATAATAACCAAATGTGATGGTACTGGTGAAGATTTCTGCATAAAGGTAACTGTCACTTACATATTACTCTTTACCATAATCTAGTTGAAGTATATGGTTTATACATTACTTTCGCTATGTATATGTGTGCAAAGTTATGCACATGGCTCCACTCTGCAATTTGTAATCTGCCATCTGTAATCTGTAACTTGTAAGCTGTGCCTTTGCATACTGTTAATTTTCGTTGTGATATTCATGAGTGGTATGATTATTTCGGTATCTTTATTTTATTGATTTAGGGCCTATTTGATTGACAGAATGATTGTTGCCATATTCGATCAATCTCTTGGGGCCATTAAGCCTCAAGATTGTGGCAATGCTTCTGGCTTTGTTAAGAAGTTTGGGAATCCATCGTTGAGATACATCTCGAAAGGTTTTCCAATTGATAATAGATTGTTCAGGCAAGGAATTAGTACTTCTAGCCAATGGAAGTTGCACATTGTTCATGAATCATCATCTTGCACTTCTGTGATAAACCAAGTTTCATCTACATTGGGGGACACAGTCAACTTTAATGATAATACACCTGGTCAGTTGTCTCATCCATTCTTGATTGTTTATATGTAAGCTGTAGATTAAAATTAAGCTGTGCATTAAATAAATTTTTTTTTACTTGTAGTGTACATATGTGTGTGTGTGTATTCTCCAGGGATTTCTGGTGATTTTTTGTGTTGCCTACTGAATGGTGGATTCTATACTCTTGTTTATTTATGGAGAAGAAGATTTTGTTCACTGGTTATTTTGATGTTCCCTTAACAAGAAAAGGAGTAGATAAAGCAATTAAAGCAGGTAAAAGAATTAGCAACATACTTATAGATGTGATTCACACCTCCACACTGACTCATGTACAAATGACATCTATGCTGGCCATGACTCAACATCGTCAACAAGGCAGTCTGCTTGTACTTTGAGTACTTTTTGTTGCCGGCGTTGAATTTAGGATTGTGTGGTTACTTGTGTCACTTTGTATGCAACCAAGTTGATTTGTCGAGGCCTTCGATAAATTTTTATATGGAAGCCATAGATGTGTATTTTCATGTAAAGTATCCGAATCACTGATGGGCAATATATTGATGTTAATCAAGATTCTAGCAAGAATTAGGCGGTAAGACATGTTTTTAACTTCAACATATTAGAATATGGCCATGAAATTGGTATTTTTATTGATTAAATTGCTTGATGTTGAATAAAGGGTGTAATTTGAATTTTCTTTTCTGTTTCTAGTTTTTAGATTTCCTGGGAAGAGATGTACATTCTAATCTCTTTCAGGGGCCAATTATCAGACATGATGAGAGTGAGCAGGCGAAAATCTGGGGTGAAACATTCAGTGAAGAGATAAAAAAGCATATATTCCAGTTATTAAGGCTTGGCAATTGAATGAAAGAATGTTATTAACTGCTTTATCTCTCCTGTTCATATATCATCATGCTTTAATTTGAACAGAATTATCCAATGGAGCAGCATCAAGAACATCTTATATTTATAGCACCATGGTTGACTAAAAACATGCTCCTGAACTTGCTACTGGTATGCTTAAAGTTTAAAGCATCTCAATCTGAAACAATCAAAATATTCACTGCAGATTGAACCCCAGCTGTACTCAGGAAGGCATGTGATGGTTGCTGCACATGGGAATTCGTTTGGTCTATTATCATATATGTTGGCAAATTAACTTCTCAGCAGGTACCAAATGCTATCTTTTCTTGATTGCTCTCCCTTATGCAACGTGTTCTGGTTTTTTATGATGGCCGATGAGTGACGACTATCTGGGAAACAGGTTACTTAGAATTATCAGCTGGGATATCATTCCTTTATATATGCAAGGAAGGGAGCTTTATTAGAGAGGAAGTCCTGTAGGACCTAAAGAGGCTGGTGTTTATGCTTATACACAGGTATAGACTCTTCTGTTTCTTATAATGGATGTTTCAGCATTGTTCTATCTTTCAATTTTTCACTTGCTTTCTTAAGAATATTATAGATGAAGTTGTTTAAAATCAGTTGAAACTCATTTGATGAGAGAATTTAAGGCCTAGATTTTTAATCAGTTGCTGAATAGTTACTCCGTAGTCTGTTGATCAGGATTTGAATGCTCAGAATCATGTGAATCAGGCTAGAAGTTATCATTTCCACTGTTTTGTCTTCTGTTGCTCTGGATGATTAGGCTTCTAAAGACAAGATCTTTTTGGTTTTTTGTTTGTTAGCCTCATTAATTTATTGCTGTCTGAATAAATTTCATACTGGTCTGAATGAGAAACTTCTTTAGGGGAACCATTCAATTACTTTTGCTAAAAGAATCTCAGTAAACATGGTTCCTCTAAAGAAGTTTCTTATTCAGACCAGTATGAAATTTATTATTACTTTTGCTAAAAAATGTCAGTAAACATGGAGATGTTTCATATGGATGGAGTTTTAATACTTCTGAAGGAAATTTGTATATAAAAGGATTTTCAATTTCTTTAATAGGTGTCAACCTTAACTAAGTATTATAAATCCAACCCTTGGTGGTGGTTATATCCTCAATTTGAGCATAAATTTACACTTAAGTTCTCTATGCTCGAAAGGTATCTTTTTTGCAGTAAATTGGAGGCCAGATGTTCCTGCACGAAGCAGGTTTCTACTTGCCCAGCCCATGTTGGCCCAGGAGAAAATCTCACCTTTATGGGGTTTCTTTGCTTGCTTTCAAGCTGTTCTGATCACAAATCCACTAGGACTGAGTGGAAAAAAAAGTTGATTCCTTTGTAGCCATTTTGATGTTGTCTTTCTGGATAGATAGAAAATAAAGTTCTTCCATCTAGGCAATCAGATTCTTCATATAAACTTACATATCTTACAACATGTGTCTGAACATTTCCTTCCCTGAGTAGTGTCTTTTGTAATTTCTCTTGAAATTGCTATCCGTTGAATATAATGAAACTAGAAAGGCATTTGTCTAGGAGAAATGATGAAGTTCTGCAACGTAAAATCTTCTTATGGATTTGTATCCTTATTTTGTGTCTTGAAGACTTCCTTGTACTCATGCAACTCTGACCTTTTGTCAAGTTCTGTAATTCAAAAAGAAACAGTGGAAGCCACACATTTCTGGATGTGCTAATGTTGAAAGTTTTGCTCACTTAATGTTCTTCTGTGAAATTCTCTGGCTTCTATTCATCTTTCCCTGCCATTTATTAACATCCTGCTGCATGCAACCTTTTTCTATATGCAGACCTTAGCACTTTACAGGTGGAGATTGGATGAAATGTTCGGTCTATATGCTTGTAACTTCGTTGGAAGTTCTTATACTTGACAAACGATATATAACTTATGGAGTCAAATATCCGATGTCATTGTGCATTTGGCAATACATATATGTATATATATTTTATTTTCAGAGGAGAGGGGCAACCTAATTGGTCTCCAGCTTTTGAATAGAGAATTTCGAAGGCTTTTACAGGCTCAATGTAGGTTGGAAGTGTCAAGTTGTCTTGCGCCATCTGCAGTTGCAAATTTTTTTTGGTCAAACTGCAGAGTTGGCCTATTACAATTCATTAAGAGACGTTGTTTTTCCTATATACATATATATATATATATATTAGACATATACATCTTTGTATGTTGAACATGGAAAATTAGAATGGTAATGTAAATGGAGAAAAGAGCTTTATTTCTTGAGGCTGCAAATATTGTGTTACTATGGGAATGTGGAAAATACAAATTAAATTGCCTATGGAATTTCTGCTACAAATGAAGCGGATAAATTAGATTTCTAGCGGTTTGATGGTATTATGGCCTTGGTTTAAATGGGCTCCAGACCACTGACTATATATGCAGCTCTACATTATATGTAATATATATAATCGCATGCACTATTTTGTTTTAGTTTTGTGGTAGGAGGAATCTTCACGTCATAATGTTGTCATAAACATAATTTACAAGTTTATGTTGGCATATCAGTCAAAGGCAAAATATGTGTAATATCCACATTTCACTTGTCAAAAGCAAAAGATGACTTTTTGAAATGAGAAATATAATGAATATACATGTATCAATAAAGAAATAAAGAATTAATGGAATTAAAGTAAACCAAATTGAACTAATTTTTTACTATAAAAAAAAATAAAAGATAAAAAAAATTGAAAAGAGTAATAGAAGTGATTTAAAATTGAAATTAATCTTATAGAGATATACTTGTATGAGTTAATAGATGTGTAGGTAAATACCAAAAACAGAGATGTGTTGGAGTTAAGAAGATGACGATGAAGAGGAGGAGGAGGAGGAGGAGGAGGAGGAGGAGGAGAGGAGTCAAGTCCCATTATGTGAACTGTTACGGCTTTTCTTCTATTTTTACTATCCTTCCCGAAAGCACTGCCGCCAATATCTCATCCTTCAAAAAACAGGTCATAAAAATATTTATTTCTTTTTCTTCTTCTGCTTATTGTTATTCATTATTAATCTAAAAACATAAAAATTCCAATGCCCATTAAAAAAATAAAACTAAAAACAACAGGGGTTCTGAGCTTTTTTTCCCTTCATTTTTTCACCAGAAATTCTTTCAATATCTAATCGTTTCATCTTCTTTAACATAAATATATTTAATGAATGAACGTATTCCAAATCCGTTTACGACTTTGAAATGACTAAATCTAATGCCTCCTCCACCGGTACTACCCCTGAAAACTCTGTCAAGAATGACAAGAAAAAGAAGGTACATTCACCTTCTTTCTTTTCTCTTTAATACATATATTTATTTATGTGTGTATGAGACATGAAGTTGATGGTGATACGTTTCATTTTCCACTTTTCTCTGTTTGAAGTTTACGCTGCCAAAGATTTTTAGTACCAAGCGTCGAGGGGACACAGATGATGATGATATATTCAAACCAGACCATGGAGATGGACATGGAGTTTCTCTTGGTAATTAATAACATAAGTTTTTTCTTCATGATGCCATGATAACATTTCTTTCTCAATCACAAATTTTGTATTTGATTGATAGATTTATTTTTTATTTTGGTTTCTGGTAGATTTGGAAAACAAGATCTCATCTAGAAGAAATGCATTCATGGAGCCATTTATGAGAAAAAGCTTCTCAGGTATGGTATTCATTTTAATATGATATCTGATGAAGATATATACATATATAGAGCTAGAGCTAACATAATTGATGGGTCAGTCTTCTTTTTTTTTCATTTTATATTGAATTTATATAATGGGTGCACGTTTAGTAGGACACTAATTACCCCTTGCATAATTCTGGTAGTTGTATTCTTATTTTTTCTCTCTTTCTTGTGAACTTAAAACTTGGGTGGTTCACCTAACAACTTGATTATATGGTACACACTGACAAAAATAATGAGGAATAAGAGTTAATTGCATTGAATCTTTCGTTTACCATTTGAAAAAAAAAAATTGTTTGATTAATTTAGACTCCAGAAACTTGTAACGAAAAAAAAAAAATCAAATCATGCATGGTCCTAATTTCTTATCTACTCTCAGAAAGAGAGACTAGTCCTGGAATTGAAGGCCTCAACCTATCGAGTTTTGATCACAGTATGGCACAAGACACTGAGATTCGAGAATTCAGGTCTATCAGTTTCTCACTATCATATATGACAATATCAGGAACTTCAATGTTGCTCCAATGGCTGATTTTGCCAATCTTGATTTACTTGCAGGATTTTTGTTGCCACATGGAATGTGGGAGGAAAAACACCAAACAATGCACTTAATCTTGAAGACTTCTTGCTGGTAGAAGGCTCCGCAGACTTATATGTCTGTGGGTATGAGGAAACTTCTTGCCTTCTTGGATTTCTTTCCTAAATTTCTTTGCATTAAATTCGATCATTTCTTGTTCTTCAGTTTTCAGGAAATTGTGCCACTAAGTGCTGGAAATATACTGGTGGTCGAAGATAACGAGCCAGCAGCAAAATGGCTGGCACTTATAAGTCAAGCCCTTAATAAGCCACATGAGACGCTCTACTCCACATTGGATTCAGGCCCTGCAAATTATAGTAGCTTCTTGAAGGAACCAAAGCCAGCAGGCAGCCTTCACTTTTTTCAGAAACCTTCTCTGAAAATTCTGAGTCGGACTTTTAGGGCTGACAGTAGAATTCTCAAAACCTGCAATTGCCCTGTTGGGAATTCTCCAGTGCTGGAGAGGAGAAGGACAAGAAAGCTGAGTAATTCACAAAGTAAGCTGGAAGACAGGTCCTTCCTCCTGGGTCCAGACACTACTGTTGATGACTTGCTTTCATTTCCTGATGTACCTCCTCCACCCTGGGATCCCAGCCAGATGAGCTATCGCCTGCTGGCGAGCAAGCAGATGGTTGGAATCTTCCTCTCCATTTGGGCTAGAAAGGACTTAGTCCCACATATTGCTCATCTCAGAATCTCTTCTGTCGGAAGAGGGATAATGGGTCGCCTTGGCAACAAGGTATTAATCTTCACTATTGAAAAATAGTACAGTTCCGGGTTTACATTATTTTGACTGATGATTGATTGCATTGTTGGAAATTATTTAGATGCGTGATCAATTAATGACAAGTTTGGTCTAGTTTTTGATTGATGATATATGTGGTTTTATGGCAGGGATGCATCTCAATAAGCATGTCATTGCACCAAACAAGCTTTTGCTTTGTGTGCAGCCATTTGGCTTCTGGTGAGAAGGAAGGTGATGAGCTCAAAAGGAATGCAGATGTGTTGGAGATCCTCAAGAGCACACAGTTCTCCAAAATTTGCAAGAACCCGGATAGCCGAGGACCAGAAAGAATAATTGATCATGAGTAAGTTGATATCAAGAGTTTGATCTAATCACTTATCAACCAATGCTATGGTTGTCTTTTTCTTTTCTTTCTTGGACATGCATTAATTGTTATAACATGGCTGCAGCCGGATAATTTGGCTCGGAGATCTCAATTATCGGGTCAGTTTGAGCTACGAGAACACTTTGTTTCTTTTGGAGGACAATGATTGGGACACCCTGCTGGAAAAGGATCAGGTTTGTTTACCTGAATAGGTCAATATTGTTTGTGAAACTTATCAGCGCAGTCCCACTTCTTGTCTGACTCATTGAAGCTTTTCCTTGTTTAGCTGATTAAATTTTCTGAACTTTCTCAATCTGGATATGAGTAGAATTAAATTCAAATCTTTACACCCGACACTAACTTTACCAACTTCAGTTATTAACAGCATCAGAAATATATTTATTTCTGAATTCAGAATTGACTGAATGGTATTTTATATTAATGATCGTAGTTGAATATAGAGAGGGAGGCAGGGAGAGTGTTTACTGGATTCAAGGAGGGAAGAATCCTGTTTGCTCCTACGTACAAGTATTCAGAGAACTCAGACTCTTATGCCGGAGAAACGGTCAAGTCCAAAAGGAAACGCCGAACTCCAGCGTGGTATATATCTATGTATACTATTTTTTCCTAACGTATACAGGATTATGAGCTCAATAACAACAAATGAATTACAAAGTTTAGAGTGTTGTTTCTATAAGTTTTTAAACTGGGATTTCAGGTGTGATAGGATTTTGTGGAGAGGCAATGGCATAGAACAGCTATCATACATTCGCGGTGAATCGAGATTTTCAGACCACAGACCCGTGTGTGCTGTGTTTGCGGCGGAGGTAGAGGTGAGGAGCAGAAGTAAAAACAGATACAGAAATGGCTATTCATATACGGTTGCAAGACTAGAATATGATGAATGCATACCACAAAGGCATAGTTTCTACGACTTTTAACTCAATAAGAAGAACCTGATGAATTGTATATTTTGATAGGAGAATTAAGTTCATTTTGTAATCCTTCCTTTTCACCAACTATCTTTCCTCTTGGTTTTTATCTTTCTAGTCTTCTTAATTAATTGTTATATCATACAAGGGAATTAAATGAATCTAAAGAGGCTTAATTTGTTGACAATCACAGATATACTACAGATAAAAGATATTACAAGGCTGATAGTTAATTGATGAAGCAAAAACAAAAATGTAGAACAATCAAGCTTCTCTTTTTCAGTCTTTCCTCTTTGTTCCCTCTTATTGCTCATAAACCATGTCCCAGATTGAGCTTGAAGCTCCATCTGCATTATTATTATTCTCTTGTACTAATGGATTTAAAGATATGTCCATGTTTTCCCTGATAACTTCAAAAGCTCCATCCATGGCTAGATACTCGATTCCTTTCTGGTAATTCAGATCTCCGAGTGCACTAGTAGTAAACCAGTTATGGCCTTCTTGATGAGCCTGATCTCCAGCTTCGTAATTTGCATCTACGTAATCGGTCTGACTAGTCCTCGGAAGCTCAATCCTCAGCCAATCTGGCGGCGATGATGATACATCTCTGCAGGTGTCATCAACATTTTCAACTCCCAAAATCCTTATTGGACCAATTGGACTGGAGAGAAAGAGATTGTTGACAGGGAAATCAGGACCTTGGTCATCAATTTCTCGATCTTGGCCCACTTGGGTTTTTTGGGAGATCAAATTATGGCAAGAACGTAATGTATTTAGTGAAACCTCTTCAGCAGCAACACACTTCCTCTTGGCTTGTCTACTTGATCTGGGGCTGCTTGTCTCACTAATATACTTGCCTTTACCAGAAGTGCTTTTGGAGTGCCCTTGCTCATCTTCCTTGTTATCTTCTTCATCCGAAGCTGAGATTTTGAGGCATTTTTCTGTCAGCTGAAGAAGTAATTCTTCTTGGTTAAGCACTTTTGACCAAGTAGCAGTCTCTTTAGCCATCATCTTATCTTGCAAACACTTTGATTGTTTTACAAGCCTCCTAATCTGGTGGACATTAGGTGACATGTGCTTGATAACAGCAGCCAATGCACTCACCTTCCATGCCTTTTTAAGGTCATGAGGCTTCTTGTAAGGCGGAGGACCTTGTTCTTTGGCCACCATTCCTTGCTCACCCCACCAAACTTCCCTTCCCGTTGGCCACCAAGGAGGGGCTATTCCCCTCTCTAGGGGGAACCTCCTTTGTGGAGGGATACAGTGTTGCATAAGAGCAGAAAGAAGAGACCCTAACGTGGTGTCTTGTAAATCTTGAAGGAGATGAATGAAAGAAGCTGTGGAATTCCCGGTCGCCGGTAAGCTTTGCTCTAGTAGCGGCAAGTATTCAGAAATGGCGAGAGGAGCATTTTGATCGAACCTGACTTTTTCTTTCCACCAGTAACGTAAACTGTCAGAAGAGCCTGTAACAGGTTTTCCTTTATTAGGGACAATCCCGTATACGAAACCTTGTCCTTTGCAAACCTCCATGATCTTCACCATGTACTTGAGAATGGAATCTTGAGCTCTAGCCATCTTCTTGCGACGAGAAGCATCTTCTCTCGCCTGCGTCTCTGATTCTTCATCTCTCTGCTTCTTAAGCTTCTGCATCCGCAAACGATCCTTCCACATCCTCTTCTTGAGATCATCATAGCTGATTTCTTCTTCATCTTCCTGCAGCGACCGGAAATCATCTTCTTCCTCCTCTGCGACAGGACTGAAAGGCTCAATCCTGTCAGATTCCTCTTCATGAAACTCCACCATACTTGATCAACTGAGCTAATCTGTTCACAGGGGATGACCAAATGCAGAGTTATGAGGATATAAATATAAGGGGTGGACGGCGGTGAGAAGGGAAGAGTTATTGATGTTGTGACAAATGCTTTTATGGGTAAGTGAAGTCACCAAAGAAGACGTCGCCGTTGATGAGGTTGAAGGGTCTGTAAATTCATTGAAGTGAACGAGGGTGGCGTAAGGACGATGGAAGGAGGAATTCGAGGGTGGGTTTGTTGCCGAGTAGCTGGAGGAGAAGACGTAAAATTCAGGCGGCGACGTGCATGCGAGACACGTATATGGCATGTGTATATCTGCTGACTACCCGCTAAATTTTATAATATTCACCAAACAAATCACAACCTATAAATTAATATTTTCTTCTTGTCCAGGTTTCTTAATGTAATATTATTCAAATTAATTACACAATTCACGATGCATGTATGGCAAGTGAAAATTGGCTGCACTTAAATTTATCTCTTCATATTCCCTTAATCAATCAAAAAAACAGTAAGTAATTAAGATAATGAAAGTTTTTTTAATCTACTTTAATTGATCTAATTACTCTCCTCTCTCTGAACCAAAGAAATTAATTAAGTTTGTTTACATATTAATATATAATCAAATATTATTCAATAATTTTCTTCTTCTTTCTGGTTTTTATTTATTTATTTTTTTTATTTTTTAAGATTTGCCCCCAAAATATAGAAATTTTTCTTTTTTTTTTTTTTTTTTATGCACGACTGCTAAAATCGAAACAAATAAATTAACTAAGTTGCATAATGTGATTTCAAAAATCTATGGGTTCGTTTGGCACATTAATCCATTTTATAGCTTTCATTTTTAAAATTTATTTATACTTAATTAAAAATGTAAAATTTAGTTAACAATTAATAAAATAATAATAAATGTAAAAGTATAACTTTAAAATTTCTAAAAATATTATCTTTATTATTTTTTAAAAACTTATTACTGTCAATATTTAACTATTCAATAAACACATGCACATTTTACATGGTATTAAATAAACATAAATGACTTATTAACAATTATTAATTTAGAACATAAATATTTTTTATGCATTAAAAAGAAATTCTAAATCTTCACCGAAGACCTTCAAGAAGTCAAAGTGAGATAGACAAGGCAATTCCAAAAGAAGACAGGGACAACTACAAATATCATTATACTATATATATAGAAAAAATTATGTAGTTAGATAGCATGCAGGAGCTTATGGGACTCTTGAAGAAACCTTACACAACAATATTCTAATGGTGCTCTGAAAATATTAACCGAGAACGGGTATATGTATATATATATATATACATATAGCCGCAAGAGATGATTTCTCAAAACATGAAAGCTGAATTTAGCTAGTTTTAATATTCTTTTTTTCTTTCTTTTCTTTCTTGGTTAATATTTATATCGGATAATTATGTGTATTACATATATATATAAATAGAGATATAAAAGATATTCATGTGAAGGTGCATGTCTCTGATTAATTATAGGGTGAAGTCAAGAGGCATGGAGAAGATTTACATGAGCATACAATATTAATAGTAACTCTTCAGAGTGTCAATAGCCAAAAAATTAATTCTGAAACCAAGACATTACCAACGTGAAGACATTTTTTCTGTTTCCAACTCCCTCATCCACCCAAAACTTTTGTACGTATACAACTCTACTCTCCTTATCAAAACAATAATAATGATATTATATATATATATATATATGTATGCACGTACGTTTGTAGAGTTTGCGTGGATATATGTGAATATAAGCTTGACAGTTCATTAGCTATTAAATTATAACAAAACAAAAATAATTACTAAATGCTCAAGAATACAAATGCATGGACAACAGATTACGTATGTGTTATTTTTAAAAAAAAAAAAACATAACGATGCAAGGAGGACGCATATATTAATCACTATATGAATATAAATATAAACATTAATTACAATAGAATTGTTTTATATGTATATGTATTTATGTAAATAATTGATTACTAATATTTACAGAATTACTGTGTATTTGCAATTTAAGATAATGATTAATCGGAATTTATATATTTATATCACCAATTCATAAGTAGTTGAAGTTTAGATTTATTTCTTTTTTAGTCATTTTAAATTTGAAAATTGAATAAAACATGTAGGTGAAAGACTAATTGATGGTTGACGGCTGAAATACTTGGAGCATTGTGACCATAACGTTTCCGCAATCGGCCTATTAGCTCAGTTGGTTAGAGCGTCGTGCTAATAACGCGAAGGTCGCAGGTTCGAGACCTGCATGGGCCAATGTCTTACTTTTTCTTTCTCCACATCTTTTTGGGTCATTTGCTTCAAGGTGGATCAAATATGATGGCCCACCAATTCAAATGTTTAGTTTACTTGTCAAACCCAAATACAAAATTTTATTATTTTATAAATCGAGGTAAATATTTATTATAAGTCCATAAAAATAAATTCTTGTTCCAAATATACCCTCTACTTTTCTTCATTGATTAATTTATAAAAAACATATATGCATATAATTTATATACAAGTTGGGATTTAGGTTTAACACCACATGAAATTGAAATAGGAAAGCCCAATATCCAGCAAAAACAAATTCAAGACAAATATAAAGATCTGACAAATTTTGTACACCCAAAAGAGAAATAATCAGATTTTCATTTTTTTTTTATATCAAATTCAAGGTCAAACAATAGAATTAGATAACTAATTATTGAAGAAATCAAAACTCAAAAGGAAAAAAAAAAAAAAAAAAAAAAAGTAGTCATCAAACTTCTTGTTATAGTATTTTTGTTTGGAGTTTTTTAAATGAAACTGGTGAAAATTTTAATTTTAATTTTAATTTTAATGGAAAAAAAAGCTTGTTTAAAAATTATTATGATTGTTTAAATACGTAGATTATATTATAAAAATTTATTTATTTATTTATTTATTATATTTAGAAAAAAATTATGATAACAATATAACAATCTAAACTATCAAACAATTTAAAAACTTTTTTTAACAAAACCAACTTGATTTTAATTTATTTTAGATTTATTAAATTAAGGTGATTATTTTTGAGAAAAAAAAAAAAAAGATTGGTTTAATGTAAAAAGAAGACCCTTAAAGTCCAAATGGTAAAGCCTTAATTAGTAAGTAATCACAAAAGACCAGCTTGAAAGATCTGTCAAAAGAAGAACACAATCAAGAAACAGAGTAAAGACCCACCAAAAACGAAATTATAAACAACAGTAAAGATTTTCCAAATTATACTTGTTACTCTGCTTTATTTTCTTAAAGGTGAATCATAAATATATAAACAACTATTTATATATATATATATATTTATTTATTTATTTTTTAATGTTCCCATATCTGTTTGTCCCATCTTTTTTTTTTTTTTTTTAATCCTGCATGTGTGGCCAATTGCATTGATAATTACCATATGATATGGGACAATATTTGATTACCTTATTATTTATTGTATAATAACATGATTCCACGAGTATATAATTGTTGATCACCTTTGAAGTCAAACATGTATCTATGTGCGTGTGTGAATTTTTCAATCTCAGGATAAATTGCTCACATTTAATTATATGGAAAACTTATTTAATGTAAATTAATTGAAGGATTTGGTTCTGATAAGCTATTTATGTTTTATATTTTTAAAAAAAACTATAAATGACTAAAATGATTAGTTTTCCAAATCACGCAAAGAAAATCATCATACTGATAAAAATTCTTACCTCACATTACTAAAACCCTTTTGTAATTTTTAATGAATTATATGAAAATCATGAAGAAAAATAGCAGCTTATGTGGATAATTAGTTTTATTAATTTTAATTATTATTTTACCTAAATAATCAGCACTCTCTTTTTCATATCGTGAGTTCCACTTTTTTCCCAAAAGAAAAGCAAAAAAAAAATCTTTGTTCTTTTCCTAATTAAAAATATTTTCTTTTTTTAAGTGATTCTCATTTAAAAAATTGACACATCTTCTCTGAACCCAACAAAAATTTACATCTAAATTCTTATAAACTTTTTTTTTAAATTTTATTTATGAAGCTAATAGATCATTATGTGTGTGTATATATATAATTAATTAATTAATTAAAGCTGAAATGGTATTCCATGTTCAGAAAAAACTGTCACCAAGATTCTGTCTCCATTACTAAACACCCTCCTCTGTTCATTTGAATATTCAGTCCCTTCCCTTTTCACTTCTCATTCCTCTTCATAATAAATCCAACAAAAAGAGAATCACAGAATATTCAATTTTAATTTCCCTAACATGAGTTCAATTATTTTCAAATAAAATTATATTTTACTCATAAATATACAATTCTTTTAACAAAAATTAACTGAAAAACAAAATGTAACCACAAGCTTTTTTTTTTCTCTCGCAAAATTTAGAAATACAAGTCATTAATTTATTACATCACAAACCAACCTTAAATATTTAATCATAAAGTTTCTTAATTTTTACTAAATACCTTCATTTAAATTAACTACAGACAAAAATTCAGATATATATATGTATAAATATTTAATGTAATGTAATGTAAAAAAAAAAAAAAAAAAGCATTTTTCAGCTTAAACCAACATTTTGTAATGTTTTAGTTGAAACCTACGTATGAGCTCTCCACTAATTTGTGTCCGCATTTGACCCACTAAAAACGTACAGCTAAAAATACTCAATTTTATCCATAATATTTTAATCTATTACTAAAAAAACTATATAATTTTTTAGAAAAATATAATAAACTGTGATTTATTAAATTACAATTATTTATTTATTTATTTATTATAATTTTTTCATTAAATAAATTTTAATTTCATTTTTTTGTCTGTCGAACTCATTGTTATAATAATTATTTTCTGAGGAGTATAATTTTCTTATTAATGATTTATTTTAAAATAAAAATAAAAAAGGTTAAGGGAAAAGACTCAACAGGGAATTCCCAAAAACCGGATTTTAAGGAGCCGTTGGAGATATCCTCGGGAAACCTGAGGGCAATTTTGTAAATATGTCACGGTTTCCAATAAATAACAGCAATTCCTCTGACACCATTTTCTCTCCTTGTGGAAAAGCTTCTCTGTTTTAATGTAATTGCACCAGGCCTTCACTCTCACCTCCATGTTCACCTTACCTGTATCTGAAAATGGCGAAGTGGCCAATCACACGGATTTATAGAGAGAGAAAGAGAAACACTTCAATCTTTTAGAGAGAGAACCAAAATAAAAAAGTTTTTTCTTTTCTTCTTTTTTAGCAACTTCAATTAACTCTAACTGGAATGAAATGCACACACAACGAGGCAAAAATCTTCTCGTATTACTGTAGCAGATTCCTCTCTCTCTCTCTCTCTCTCCTTCTTCATTTCGCTTTTTCATCATTGCAGTTTTCGGGTTCTCTCTCTCTTTTGCCATCTCTGCCTAAATCTCTGGTTAATCTCAGCCTTCTTTTGGGGTCTGATACGCGCAGGTCTGGTTTGTTTGCTAAGTTATTTTTGGCTTCCCATCAATGAGGCTTGGTTTAATGAATACCCAACTGCTCTCTTTTGTTGCTGCTTTTGTTTCTTTCCTTCCTTGAAAACTACTAGTCCTCTGTTTCTCCTGGCTCCGTGCGTGCGTGAGTTGTGACCACCCGGAAGGAAAGTCCAACAACTTCTACATTAATTTCCAGTTTTTATTATCTGGGTCCTGTCTCTTTCCTGATTACCAAGCTTACTTCGACTGGTTTTTTATTTTTTTCGTTGTAAAATTTCGACCGGCGGTTCAAAAAAGTTGCTCTGTTTTCCACTGCTTTAAAGTTTAAGGCTAGGGTTTGTAGAAGAAAGAACTCCACCTCTACAGTAGGCTTTTACTTCTTTGTTTTCCTTCATCTTTTCATCTTCCCTGCTTTGTGCATTGTGTTCAGTTGGGCGTGTGCTTATTTTGAGAGATTATCCGCGCAGCTGAAGATGGGATGTTCAAATTTTAGAGAAATTTCAACCTGTTAAAGCTCTTGAACTTTGGCTTCTCGTTCACTCCAAGAGATTTTGCTTGGTTACTCGTGAAATGGGATTAGTTTCGTGAAGTGAGTAGCTCCGTTTTTGGTGCAAAATGGGCAGCGCAAGCTCCAAACACGAAAACAACGCTCCATTGCGTCTTTGTAAAGAAAGGAGGAGGTTCATCAAGCAAGCGATTGATTCGAGGTATGCTCTTGCAGCCGCTCATGTCTCTTACACTCAATCTCTCAGAAACATTGGAATCGCCCTTCGGCGATATGCCGAGGCTGAGGTATTGATAGAGTCTTCTCTGTCAACATCAGCCACTGAGATGGAGAAAACTCCATCACATTCCTCGTACCCGTCTCCATCACCTTCGCACATGGTTGAGGCATCCGATTCACCACTGAACAATGAGCACCCAAGTCCCGGACGCATCTTGCCACCTACGGCGAATTTGAGCTATATGAAAGCCGGGAGTAGTGATGCTGTTACTGTTAAGATCAGTCCTGACCTCGGTGATTTTGTCGAGGACGATTCGTTATCAACGCCCATGCCACCACCTCCTCCTTCATTTGAGTCTTCTTGGGATTACTTTGACCCCACTGATGATTGTGAGAGCTTTAGGTTTGTGGGGCATAAAGGGTTGGATTTGGATTTTGACGGTGTTAGAGGATGGGAGCACTTTAGAGGTGAAGGTGTGGTGAGTGGAAGAGGAAATTGTGAGTTTCCTAAAGGAGTTACAAGCTCTGGATTAGAGCAGAGGGCATTTAAGAAAGCTGATAGTTCATCAACTCAAAATCATAGTAATGGCCAATCAAATGCATGTAGTTATTCAGCTACTGAAGGAGGAAGACATTGTTACAGACAAGCAATTGGTAGTGAAGGATTGGTGGGCCAAGATGGTGTTGAGCAGGCAAATTCTAAGAGGGAAACAACTCTAGCTGAGAAAAATTTATGTGCTGAAAGAGAGGATCCATCTGAATTCATTACCCATAGAGCTAAAGATTTTCTCTCTAGCATTAAGGACATAGAACATAAATTCTTTAGAGCATCAGAGTCCGGCAGGGAGGTCTCCAGAATGCTTGAGGCAAACAAAATCAAGGTTGGATATGCTGAGGCAAAAGGTAATTGCCCTTCTTTTTTCTGGGATAATATGTCCCATGAATTTAGATTCTTTGATCATGCATTCCATCGCAAAGGTTTCATATGCTGTATTCCTTTTGCTGAAATGAATTTTGATGACAATTTTTGACATGTTAATTCTCGCAGGGAGTTCATCACCTGCAGGATTATTGGAAGCATTCCCGCTAGTTTGCTGCCGTAGGAATAATTTGCTAGTTTCTCACGGTATGATGTAGTTTTGCACCTAATATTTTGGAGTTTGATTAATCAAAATTTGATTGGAAATTCAACAAGAGGTTTTTAGGATGAGGTCTGGACATTGCCTTTTGGATGTTGCATCAACTTCTGAATCCTCTAAATCAAATACATGGTAGGACACCCTATGATAGATGTTGGCTTCCTTCTAAAGAACACAAATGCAGAAACAAATGTTTGGTAAAAACCCAACAACCCCCCCCCCCCACCCACCCACCCGGGCATATAGCATTTCATCTCTTTTCCTATGATAATGTAAACTCTTAATCTCTTTGCAGAACCTGTAAATCATGTAACAAAGGTCATTACTTGGAAGCGGACGACATCTTCAAGGTCATCTTCGTCTAGGAATCCACTTACAGCAAAGGATGATGGTGATGACAGCGGAAGTGATTTTGTTGAAGAATTCTGCATGATAGCAGGAAGTCATTCCTCCACTCTGGACAGGTTGTATGCTTGGGAAAGAAAACTCTATGATGAAGTAAAGGTATTTATTTTTTTCGTTAAGTGTTGACTCTAAAAGTAAGCATCTAATGTATCGGAAAATCTTATATTATGCACTGGCCCGTCAAACTTCTGATTTTTCTGTGATGCTATGAATATCCCTGTTGGTCTTCAACCAGCCCAAGGTATTCTCCCTTTTTTCAGCTTGCTGTAGGTTTGAGTTGTTAAGTACGCTAAATCTTCTAGCATGACTAAATCTTCTAGCATGATTTCCATAACAATTGCTGATCAAACTTAGAGGTTTGGATTTTTGGAACCTCCTTAACATAGTATCGTATTCTCTCTCTGTTTTGTTCTGCTTGTTGAACATAGCTAAAGCTTTTACTTGTCCGACCCTCTTCTGATTGCTATAAAAATACCATTCATCATTTAGGTTCTAATGTACTTTCATCCTTTGACTGACCCATAGTTTGACCCTCTAGGCCAGTGAATCTATTAGGAAGGAATATGATCGGAAGTGTGATCAGCTTAGGCACCAGTTTGCAAAGGACCATAGTGCTCAAGTAATTGACAAGACACGAGCAGTCGTGAAGGATTTACACTCCCGAATAAGAGTTGCCATTCACTCTGTTGATTCTATTTCCCAGCGGATTGAGAAAATGAGAGATGAGGAGTTGCAGCCACAACTCTCAGAATTGGTTCAGGGGTAAGTGAAAAAATTTCACTTTCATTTTATTGTGAAAAAGGATGGATGTTAAAAGCTTTACGCTCTAAATGTCCCATTTTAAGTTGATGATACCTTTTGAGCCCATAAGATGTAGAAGTGCATTGAACTTTTGCAGGTTGATTAGAATGTGGAAGGCCATGCTTGAATGCCATCACACCCAGTATATCACCATCTCCCTGGCATACCATTCAAGGAGCTCAACTGGAAATCCACAGAGTGATATCCGTAGAGAGATACTAGTTCAGCTCCAGCAGGAAATTGAATGTTTTGGCTTGAGCTTTGCAAACTGGATCAACAGTCTAACATCTTATGTTGAGTCTCTGAACAGTTGGCTGCAACTCTGTATCCTACAACCCCGCGAGCGGAAGAGTAGGAGGCCATTTTCCCCACGACGCTTCCTAGGCCCACCTATCTTTGTTCTCTGTCGGGAATGGTCAGTTGGGATCAAAGCTTTACCAGCTGAGGAACTTAGCAATGCCATTAGAACCTTCTTGTATGACTTGTGCCATTTATCAGAGGAACCAGCGGAACAACTTGAGAAGAAACAGAACCTCGTCAATGAGAAAAATGGAGAACAAGAAGCCAAAATTGATGAGAAAAGTGAGGTATCTTCAAACTTGTCCTGCATACATACAAGCATGACAAAGCTTCTTGATAGACTGCACAAATTTTCTGAGGCTTCCTTGAAAATGTACGAGGATGTAAGACAGAGGAGTGAAGCAACTCGATTAGCCTATTCCAGGTCAATCTAGGATTTTGAGCGCTGCCTGATTATTAAACATAAGCATCTCTTATACTATGTTTGGGAATTGATGTGTAAATCTCAAATCATTGTTGCAAATAGATCTTCTTAAGGTAACAATTTTGGGAATGTGCAGTGTTTAGAGGAGGGTGGTAACAAGGCTCACCTTGCTCTTCAATGAGTAGTGTCAAATCTTTCACCATCTCGCAGTCCAACTAATGAGTTTGGAATACATTCAGTTATTGCATTCCGGTAATTAATTAATTGTTTGGAATACATTCAGTTATTGCATTCCAGTAACGAATTAATTGTTAGGCTGTCAAATTATGGTGATCTACTGGCTCTAGAAAGTCTAGGTGGTATGTTGAAATCGTCAGTTGATGCAGACAAATTTCGTGTTGAATTTCAAGTGTATAACAGCGTCTAAATACAATTAATACTTGAAAAAGAATATTGCCCATTGACAAATATTATAAACTGTGTATAACAAGATCTTGTTGATGTATGACATTATTTCTTTTGATTCAGGAGGGGTACATTATTTTCCTGTTTGGCAAGCTTTTTTTACCCACGAAGGGAAAGAATGATCTAACTTCCTCCAAAATGTTTAAAAAATAATCCTTCATTGCATTTTGCTTCTTTAGAATCCAACGTACTGTGTGTACTGGGCATAAGCTTCTGACTGCATGGCTATTGGAGCCCGTGTAACATGATCTGGAAGATCAAATCCGTCCACCAATTCCCTTGCAATATTTCTCACTTGGAAACTAAGGTATTCCGTCAGCTTGTGGATTGCCTGCAAACAGTACAAGTTCACATGTCAAATGGTTACAGAACACATCAACTATGAAAATGTTTCCTGAAAGCAGATTGACAATCGTTAGTAAAGCAGTTGTCCAACTCATAGTGCCAATTCTAGATAACTCCCAATTTAAGAGGCATTTGACATAAAGAAGTTCTGAAATGGATTTTTTACCTTTGCTTTGTTCGGTGCAACGTAGTCTACATTTCGGTAAGTTCCTATGTCATTCCAGATGTGATCCAATGCATATAGATCACAAACTAATTTTAGGGCAGCTTGTGCACTGGCATCAGGACAGCTGCAAAAAAATGAGATTGAGGATAAATCAGAAATTCAGAAAACAAAATAAATGGCAAATGAATTGAGGGTAAATAGGAAATTCAGAAAACAAAATAAGCAAGAAATGCGGTTTTTGTCAGGCCAAGATTAGGAATTACTTCTGGACAGCTTCAATGAACTTTGCAAGAATGACAGACTCGATATGAGATTCTGCAAGTGTGAGAAGGTGATTCAAGCACCTATTCCAAGCACCAAAGCTCCCAAGAGTTTTAGAGTGCTTTCGTAGTCTCACTGCCACACTCTGAAGTAATCGTGATGTTCGGTACTGCAAAAAGAAGAATTTTGTAAAGTGCTACTGTAGGGGGTTGTGCACTTAAGTCCAAGAACTAAATATATGGAATCAAGGGGAAACTCACTCTGAAAGCATCCAACTGGAATGTAGGATCTCGTAAATGGTCTTCACCTTCCCATCGAGCAGTTACAGGATTCGGCTGAGACAAGTATGCACTCATGGATTCCCGCAGGTAGTTCCAAGTAACTGCCAGAGTTCCACCTTGGAACTTCTCCTTGTACTGCTTCAATAAATCAGCCGCTACCTGCATCATCACCATGTAAAGCTCTCACTATGGATGCAGGTAGTGATGATTCTTCAGATAAGAAACCAAAAATTTTACATGACAGAATATTAAAAGGCGTGATTGAATGGTATGTATTTAAAACCTGTTGCAGAAGCACAGTATTGTCCCCTTCAAACGTCTGGAAGATGTCATGATCATTCCTCAAGGTACCAAAGCGGTTCACAGCTGCATACCCATGTCCTCCACATGCTTCCCTGCAGATGCTCAAGGACTTGGCCGTATAAGATGTCACATAAGACTTGAGGCCTGCTGAAAGGGCATGAACATCTCCAACCAACTGATCATCATGAGTCTTCTTCATTTCTGAATATTTCTCCACCAAATACTTGGTGGCAAAATGGAATGCATATGTTGATGCTAACATTGGCATTAGCTTGTGCTGTTGAGACTGATAATCAAGAATACTAACTTCCGGCTGCTTGGGAGGACCAAATTGTTGGCGAAGTAAAGAATACCGGATGGCAATTGTACCAGCAATCTTCAGGACACCAACTGATGCATATGCAAGGCCAACCCTCCCACCTACAAGTTCCCCTAGGGTAGCAGCAAACCGTTTGTTGATTGTCGGGAGGCTACTTACATATTTTCCATCTCGAGAGACATCTCCAAATCGATTAAGAAGATTATCTCGGGGAATTCTAACTGAACGGAATCTCAGTGCTCCATTATCTACTCCATTCAGACCAACCTTATGGCCGCAATCATGTATTTCAATTCCTGGAAGTGTCTCATGTGTCTTCAAATCTCTTATTGGAACAATGAAGGCGTGAACACCCATATCAGACACTCCTTTCGAGTCATGAGTTGGCAAGATGAGCTTTGCAAACACAGTGGCAAACTTTCCATGAACTGCAGCATTGCCAATCCACCACTTGATGGCCCCATCATTGGGTGTGTCAATTATGAATTCATCTGAAATAGGGTCAAATGTCGCAATTGTCTGGAGGCCTTGAACATTCGAGCCTTTTAGAATTCAGAAAAAGAAAAAAAAAAGTGGCAGCCTTGTGAGATGCAGCATTTAACTTGAAAAGTAATATCAGATAGGCAACTATTGGAGAAAGAGTTCCAATATAAAATTTTGTAAGAACCGGGCTTTAACAATTGAATTATAGTTATTTAAAAACTGAAAATTCCAGTAAATCCGGTGCTCATACTATTTGATCATAAGTGTGAGCTTTTACTATCATTCTCCTATCAAATAACAGCTCAATTAAGATTAAACGAAAAGCTGCAATAAATTTATGTGGGCTTCATGATGAAATCAAAATGAATAGCATGGGAAGAAAACTCTATTCATGAAATGCTCAATGACTAGGCTGACAATTTACAGAGAGTTAGAAAAAAGCAATGTCATAAATGTAGACAAAGCAACACACAGGGGAACCTAAACTTCAAATAGAAAAAGAAGGGGAAAGCCATTCCATAGGTCATCCACATCTTTCTCAAAGACCTTTCTCAAGAACACCTCCATGCTGCTGGAGTCTTGGAGACCATTTTCCAGTTAACGGACAGTCTAAACATAGTTCACATTCCACATAATATAAGTCTTCATGATCAAGTGTTGAAGCTAGCAAAAACTGCAACTAGTTGGCTGTTCCTCATTAATGTTTTGTGGTTAAAAACTAGAAACTGTGATATGAATAACAGTAGAAGATTTACAACAAGAACATGAACAAACATTCTTTAATAAATCACATAAGAGAAACAAATTTATCAAAGACCGGCGAGCTTACCATGATGGAGTTCTGTCATGGCAAAACAACCAGGATATTCCAAACTGTCAATACCATCAAAGTACTTATCCCTATGTTTCTTGGTTCCTAAATTGAGCACAGTGCCTCCCCAAAGACTGCAAATGAAACAATTGAAAGCGAAAAAAAAAACATGGAACACCCAGATTGTTAGAATTCAGAACTAAGATACAAAACATCATAAACAACTCACTGCTGCTAAAAGATAGATTTGCTCCATGCATGTCAAAACAAATAGCATTTTATTCTCATCACCGAAGCTACATGATTAGATTTAAAGATACGGAGAGAATTTTCTGTGAAGTTCAAGCATCCAAACCCAGTGGCACTTGGAAAACTGGAACAATAATATCCAAAAACATATCAATAACTTGTACAGACTAGAGATGCAATTGATCAATCCAATATACCTAAAAGAACCAATCTAGTTGTCAACAAATCCCACCAGATCCTAAACTTCACCATTCAGAAAGCTGAAACCTTTGGTAGACAAGGAGTAGTCTGACCTAGATTGATAAAATCTAATTGAAGCAACACATTAGTGAATTTTGAATGCCATTTCTGTGATGCTTGTTTGAGTCTATAAATGAACTTGTGGAGTTTACAAACTTGTGAACCAGAAACTCCTTGCTCTGATATCCGAGAGGGAGGTCCATGTAAACCTCTTCATGTAAGTCAGTATTGAAAAAAACATTATTAACTTTGAGCTGAGTTAAATGCCAATGTTGAGTTGCTGCCAAAGTTAGTAACAATATGACAGGTACTAACTTGGCAACTGGAGAGAACATCCTATTGAAGTCAACTCCCTCTTGTTGCATGTAGTCTTTTCCAACCAAGCAACTTTTATAATGTCGTATGAAGCCATCAATTTGTACTTGATCTTGTACACCCATCTACATGCGATTGCATGCTTTCCAGGTGATGATTGGATTGTGGACCAGGTATAATTTTATTCTACAGCCTCAAGTTCAGCTGCCATAACTTTGCTTCAATGTCGATGCTTAACAACTTAATTATAGAAACGTAGCTCAGAATAAGAAGAGAGAGCCATTACAAAAGTCTTGTTTGATGGAGACAGCCTTCCAATAGACAGTGAATTGGCTAATGGGTGTACAACTGTTGATGATGAAGCGCTGCGCACTGAATGATTACAGTGAAAATCCTTAAGGATATGATGGAGGTTTAGTTGTCATCAAAGACCTCCAAGGAGCTACATTATGATGTAGAAAGAAGACTATTGCTGCTGAGTATGACCAGGTATTTCTGGTGAAATCCTTTGATCAAAGAATTATTTTGGGACAACTGGAGATAATGGCAAAACACGATATGGAAACAAGTCCAGAACTCCACTTTCTAGATTGAGATGATGAAAAGGAAATTGGTCTTCATGGAATACGACATCCTGAGAGGCAAATATCTGTTTGGTCTGCAAATCAAATAATTTATATCCCTTGATTCCTACTGGATAACAAGAAACATAACAAATCCGGCTCGAGAATGAAATTTGCCTCTGTGAGCAATTAATTTAGAGGCAAAAGCAAGATGAATAAACAAAAAGCTGCTTGTGAAGTAACTTATAAGGATAGTGATTGTTGAGCAAACAAGACAGTACTCTGTAGATTGAGAATATTGCGGAAGTTACACAATCATTCTAAAATATAGCGGAACTTTGGACTGGAAGTAGAGTGCTTTGGCAACATTCAACAGATTTTGATGTTCCCTCTCTATTTCAAAATTTATTCTGGAGTTTCCACACAGAAAAATTGATGTAAGACCCCATTTTCATTAAGAAAATCAGTAAGGAGTAATTTTCGTGCATTGTCTGACCTCAAAGCTTTGATATTGCAATTAAATTGCTTGCGACCATTTTGAACCAAAAAAAAAAAGTAACTGCAGTAGTAGCATCAAACTTATTCATGAGGAAATATACCCATGTAAAATGTGTGCAATCATCAACAATTGCAAGGAAATACTTATGTCAAATATATGATATACAGGAAAAGGTCCCCATATGTTGCAGTGTACAAGATCAAATGGGTTTTGAGATACATTATTGTGAGATTCAAAACGTAAGCGTTTTTGTTTAGCAAGAGGACAAGCATGACAAATATCTTGATTCATGCACCTAGAATTGCGAAAATGTATCTTGGGTTTCAACAATTCAAATATAGGAAAATATATATATATCCCAACCTCTTATACCGAATTTGAGCAATGACTTCTTTGACAAACATGGAACCAACAACTTCTGGTAGCTGCCTTTCAGAGTATAAAACATTGGGATCATTCCAATTATCTGCCTTGCCAATCATCCTCTTGTTGTAGGACTTGTAGATCATATAATGATCAAGATAAAATATAACTGTGAAATCTGAATCATTACTAAGAGCACCCACAGATAATAAATTGACCTTAAACTGTGAAACATAAAGGACTTCCTTTTAAATCAAGTCTGAACTTATTTTCACATCTCCACATAAAGAAGTAGAAAGGCAGATACCTGCACTGTGTGAAATAGAGGAATTGTCTTGAGGCTCAGAGACTTTAACATGGTTGACTAAATGACTGGAGAAAAAAACCACTAACTGCTTGTAGTGAGAGGCATTAAGCTTTGGAATGAAATTATCAACTCCAGCCTGATCTGATTTGCCTTCAGCCTGCACTGTAACCTAACTAACAGTAGCTGGATTTTTCTGTCTCTATGCTATAGATAGCCGTGGACTTTACTAAACAACACTCAATAGTATGGCCTTGAATATTACAATTAGAACAGAAAGGTTTGTCTCTTCTCGAATTCTTATTCCCATCATGTGAAGACTTTTTAAAGTTTTCACCTTTAATCATAAAAGTGACTCCTATGGAGGGATCAGCTAGCTTCAAAATAGAACTAGAACTAACAACTAGTTATCATTCCTTTTGTGAAACCGGTGAGAAGACCTTATAAATAGGAGGAAAAGGGTCCATATGAAATATTTATTCTCTTTATCTGAAACTATCATTCAAACCCATGAGGAAGGATAAAATATATTCCTTCTGAAAATAACTATTTAGTTCACAAATGCCTTCACAAGTCCATTTTCCGCAAGTACAAACAGGCTGAAAATTATCCAATTCTTCCCAAAAGGCCTTTAATTTTGTAAAGTACACTTACAGAATTCTGATTCTGTACATTGTTAACAAGGTTTCGCCTAAGTTGAAAAATTCTCAGACTATTACTTTGTTGAAGACAATCACAGAGGTCAATCCAAATCTCGATTGCAGACGCAGAAAAGATGATACTTGCTAAAATTTCTTTTGATACTGAAGTTAGGATCCAGGAAATCATGTTATTATTATTAAGAGTTCAAAAATTGAGACTATTTTGATTGGAATCATCAAGTTCTGCAATAGAGTCATTGATGAACCCTAACTTGTTTTTCACTGAAAGACCCGTTGTCATTGCACAGCTCCAAGAGGGGTAGTTTTCTCTAGTGAGATCTTGGGACATTAGCATTAAGCTATGACTAACAGAATGATGCAAGAAGAAAGGCTTTGTTGGATTGTCGATGGTCTATTTTCCTCCTTGAAGTTGAGAGAGGAGATGTTCCATGGTGGTCAAAGAAAAACAATCTCAAGAGACAAGAACCAGAATCTTTTTAAGAATGTCAAGGAGAGAGGGTAAGTGTGAAATTATCGGGAGGGAAGTAAAAAATATTGCTGTGGTACGACATTACAGAGTGAGGAAAAAATGATAATTCTCATCAATTACTATGGAAGCAGATACTATAAGTACTTATAGATACGTTACAAAACCATTGATAAACGCAAAGTAATCAATAACTAATTAACAGAAAGATAACAACCGATTAATTCATTTACACGTCTAATAAAAAACCCAGTCGGCATCCGCGTGAAGAAATATAAGAGCTTACAACATTCAATCAAACATCCGTTTGCTCCACAACCAAAAACTCAGAAAAGGAAACAACAAATTGAGATAGAAGAAGCACAAGATTTACCTGTATTGCACACCCATTTTTATCCCAAGCGACATATCTACGCTCCCAACAGCTTCGAGAATGGCGAAATACTTGGCAGGATCCTCAACAATATATCTAAAGGGCCTAATTCCAGCTTCTCTTACGAGTCCAAAAAGCTGCCTCATGCAAAGCTCTCGGTGCTCGTCTTTCGATATCTCTATCGGGGTCTGCAAATCAGGCCTGGAGTTGAAGAACTCGAATACCTTGTCTTGAATCTCCCGGTGCTTGCCTCTCATGTAACTCGACAGTTGTTCCTTGTTCACCTCCAGCTTCTTCGTTCTGGCGCAGACCACCATCTGTAGCAGATGATCAGCATCGCCAGATTCCAACGCCAGAGGACGGGGCACAGGATTCAGGTGCAAAGAGAGCCGTTCGATTCGGCGGTTAACGGGCTGCGAGGAGTCATTCCCGGCCATCTGATTTCCGTTGGGCGATTGCATTTTCTTTATTTTGCTCTTGTTGACAAAAAGCTGAAACAGAGAAGTAGAAATGGAAGAAATGAAAAGTCTTTGCTTACACGGCATGGAGTGACGTGGGTCCCGATTAATTTGAAAACGTGGCAGATGGTGATTGGACAAGGAAGGTGGCGGTTAAGTCGTTCCTGGCGCGCCTTTCAACGTCAGTTTAGGATATTGTTTTTGATGAGAAGAATGTGGAGTCATTTTCCTGGTTTTGTTGTGGATTCATGAATGAGAGTGTTCAAACTTCCTTCCCTCGCTAGTTGGGGGAAAAATAAATCTTAATTACTTCCAAAGATATCATATTATTGCTATGTTGACAACGTCTGCATGTTTATTTATAATGATTTATACTATTTGTAAATGGGATGACAGATTAAGTAACAGAAAAATTATTAACTAAATCAAGTAGTAATCACTATTTAATTTAATTTATTAAACTAAAAACGTTGTGTGTAGTAATTACAAAACCTATTAAACAATCATACATCTAATATGTATGAGTTTCACCTTATAGTATCATTTTGGTAAGTGATAACAACGTTTTTTTTTTTTTTTTTAAGTCAAACATGTCAATAGAAAAATATTGGCATGTCATCTAGACCTATGATCTACATCTTTGAGTATTAGAAATATTTTTTAATTAAAAAATATTTTGTATGTACGTTTTTGTGATCAATTATATACCTAAAATAAGTTATATAAATTTAAAAGAAATAAAATATTTGTTCGTGATAAAATATTTAGTAAAATTTGTTAGTTTCATCAACTTTATATTAAACAAATTTTATTCCATTATTTCTTTTATATGATAGTAATTATATAATATTTTGATTTCCTTTTAGTTTTTAATATTTTTTTTTATATGATAACAGTTTTATGAAAATATTTATGATTAGTTTCCTTTTTGTTTTCAATTTTAATTGTGATTTTTGCATTCACAACATTTCTTTTTTAGTTTAAACTTCATTAAAAATCTAATTATAAGGAGTTTCTTTTAAGAAATTTTCAAGAGAATAGGGCTTAATTTGGAAACAATTGATCTTCATTCCAACGTAGCAATTGATCTATATATATATATGTGTGTGTGTGTGTGTTAATTTTTCAAGCAAAACCATTATCCATGAAGTCCAAGTCAATAAGATCCTTGTAGTCTATACCATCATTAATTTTCATGTCAATAATTTGTTTTCGTACATTTGATAATAGTTTACTTTGATTAAAATAGATTTCAAGTAATGAAATTATCCATAACAATCAGATTTTTAATTATTAAAATATATTTTAATTAATGCACTTACCTATTATAGTTAAGAACCAATATATATATATTTTTTTTAGTATTTTGAATTTGTAATAGAGGTAACTTTATCATAACATTATTTTTTAATATTTGTAATTGAGTTTGTATTCTTATACTTTTTAAATGATCAAATAAATAAATCTTTTATATATATATATATATATATATATAGATATGAAACTCAATAGGAAATATAATTTCTTCTTGTGAGAAAAGAAACTATAGCAAATAATTTTTCTTTTCATATGATATTCGTATATTAATTTTGATTGAAATATATTTTTATTTATGATATGACATAATAAAATAGTTGAGACAAGTAGAAGAAAGTACCAAATTCTAAAACCCCAATTTTTGTTAATCAAAATGAAGAAAAAATTGAAATTCCATATCGACGGTGAGGATTACGAAACGACCGCGCCCGCCCGGCTCTCTCAAAAATAAAATCCGAAACGCAATTCAAAACCGCGGGTTACGATCCGAATCATGGTTTCCCGCCTCCGTCACTCCTTTTCCTTTTTACTCTCTTTGTTTCTTATTTTTGTCAGATAGGATCTCACCCTGCAACGACACAGGTGATTCTGGTTTGTCTCTAAAACTCCCTATTCTTTTCATCATCTTCCCCATTTTCATCCAAATTTATTTTCTCTAAATTCGTTTGCTTTCTCGTTGATTTCTAGGGTTTATTCATATTATGTATTTATTTATTTTCATTTTCTTCGTTTGTTGGTATTCTTAATTAAAATCAGAACTTCTCGGTGTTATTACGGCATGGTTGCTGATCTATGGTTTATTTATTAAGTTATCTAGATCTATATTGAACGTCTATTAACTCGATGTTCATGGCGCCTCAGTGTGCTTGCTATGGCGTATTTCTTTCTTGGATCAGAGGATTCGTAGTTCATTGATTTTATCCGGTTTGGTGACGTGGGCTTTATTGTGTTGCTTATTGCGACGACGCTGTTGTACTGTTTCCCCTCGGGTGAACTCGCAATGAGTGAAGATAGTTTCACCGACGGGTCGTGCAAAAGCCGGCCCATGTTGGGTGACTTGACGAATAGGATGAGGAAAAGGGGGTTTTCGTTGATTTCGGATGATCTGGGGCTTAAATGTGGAGATGCGTTTGGTAATGACCCGAATGGCAGTGAACGTGGAGACTCACAGTTTGCTAAGCAAGTATGTTCAGGAGTTGAGAATTTGGTGAGAGACAAATGCAGAGCTACTAGTGGACAAAACAGCCAGGAGAATGCTTTTGTCTTGTTGAGTGAAATGAAGAGTCCTGGTTCTTCGCCCACTTACAGTGTGAATAGTAGTTCTATTGATGCAAACACTCCTCATGAAACTCAGAAGTCAGATTCGTTGGCTGCTGGTGTTGCGGTTGTCAAGGATGATGCACTGGCAGAGGCTGTCGTAGAAGTTGCTGATGTATCAAGGTCCAGCTGTGTATCTACTGTGTCAGTGCCAATGTGCTCTGTACCTTGTGAGAAAAGCTGCGTTGAGAAGGGGAAGGCCACTTCTAACGTTTTGCAAAACATTAGCACTGATGAAGGAGTGATCAGTTGTACTTTCAGGAGTAATGACAAGGATCTTGACGTTGGTAGATTAGCCTCTAGCAAATGGGGGTCTATTGAGTGGTCAAGGTTGTGTAAGCCACAAGTTTCTATACCATTTGAACTAGGTAAATGTTCAAAGCTCAAGAATGATGGTTGTGCAGATTCTGGTCCGGAAGCTGACTTGCTAAAGTCTTGTTCTTGTTCCTTTTGCTTGAAAGGTAACTATCTTCTATTGATTTCTTGATTAGCTTTATTCTTTTGGTGCTTCTTCATTTGATATTTTGAAGTTTGAGTTTGATTTTGCTTTAACAATGTCATGTTCAGCGGCTTACATTTGGTCAGACCTCCATTATCAAGATATCAAGGGTCGACTGGCTGGTAAGCTTGGTGAAGGATAACATGTTTATACTACTGTAGTTTGCATTTTATACTAATTTAATTCCTCACGTTCTTATTCTTGAAAAATTATTGATTTAAATTTTTCTTGAGTTCAGTATCACATTTTTTCTTATTCTTCCCTTAGTGTTAAAAAAGAGTCAGAAAGAAGCTAGCGTCTTGATTCAAAAGTGTGGCAGAGGCAAGCAGAATGATCCTAACTGTCAAGGAAACTTGAACCAGTCTACAAAATTAGAATCTGATTTAACTGGACAGTGGAGGTCACTCTTTCTTAATACGGAGGATATATTTGTTCGTGAAAATAGCCAGCTAGTAAGTTCATCTTTTATTTCTATGAATTAACTTTAAAATCTTCTATGCCAATTGTTGTTTGATCTTGTGTGGTCTGCTGGCCTCTAAAATTGCATTTTTTTTTTCTGGGGCAATGAACAGAACAACATATAGTTGACAGAGTAGTTAGTATTTCTGGTTGCAGAGCTTTGATTTAAACCCTCTAGCTTGTGATTGCTTGAACCTCAATCTGTTGGACGTTGGCTGTGATTTATTTCTTTTTTATTTCATTTGTGATGATCATAAATTGATTGGCAGCAAGCTAGTCTTGTCACGTTGAAAGATCTGAGAGATAAGAGCAAGAGGGACCTAGAAAGAGCGACAGGAGGGCCTTCAGACAAATATTGAAGTTCTTCTGATTCTTCTGGTAATTGTGGATTATCTTGTCACTCTAGATTTGGTATTCGTAGCATGTCCACATGCATGTGTAGATCCATGAGCCTTGCTTGTTGCCCAAGAGATAACATTCAAGTTCTTACTACTATAGAAGCTGTAAAAACACTTTGTAACAACTGTTCGTTGCTATTAAGTACACATTAATTTAGTTTGTGCTTTGGGGATTGACTATTTCAAACTCCATCTATATTTGGTTCTGTGTCTGTTTGCTCTGATCATTACTTGTGCTCTGAGTTGCTAAATCAGTTGTAAAAGTTGCTTTCAGTAAAAATAATTTTAGGCGAAAACTAACATTTGATTATTGCTACCAAAATGTTTTAGATAAAAAAATCTTACATTTGATGGAGCTTGTGAGCAGTCAATAATACCAAGTGAAAATAGCAACCGGATGCATGGACAAACTATAGTTTTACATAGAAAATTCTTATAAATAGATTGGAAGAACCATGGAATTCATTTAATGCTTAGATACATTATTTAAGTGACTAAAATGGTTAGGCAACATCAGTTCAATAAACAGAACAATTAGAAAAGAGAAAAGAATGTATTTCCATTGAACTAATTGTGTGGAATAAAATTTGAATTCCAAAAACGTAAAGCTTAATTTACTTACAGAGAATTGAGGTTCCAAGTCAATCTGATTGGCAAAGAATAAACAACAAATTATTAGGAAATAAAAATTTCCCACAGCTAGAACTGAAAAAATTTGAATAAAAAGAATGTTTGTTCGAAGTTTGGTGGTAGTGTCACACTCGTACAAGAATGAAGGAAACGAACTTATAAGGTTTGTCTATCTAAATTTTACTTCCAGATGATTTTATCAAATTTTATTATTATTATTTTTTTCAATTGTGTAACTACTTGTAGAAGATAAATCTATTTCTCTTATTTTTTATTTTTTTTTCACTACCCATTTGATTTCACCCTGAATTCAAATATTCAAAAACTTGGATAATAGATTAACTTGGGAGTTTAAAAAAGTCTGTTTGTTATCC